TGTTTGATTACGGTTTGTTCGTATAACGTAATACTTTTGTTATACCAACTAAAAAGCTTTAACTATATGAATTTTGTTAAAAATACTATAATTTTTTTCTTAATATATAAAATCTAAATTTTAATGCACAGAAAGACAAAATAGTATCCATTGGGCATTATTTTAGTTTATGTAAAATAATATTTCGTTATTATGTAATTTTTATGAATAAAATAACTAAGATGCTTAATTTTTATATATGAAGTCAAAGAACAAAAACATTTGGTCCAGAGAACAAAGCAGAAAAATATATATTTGTTGAAACAACTAAATATATTTTGTTATATAAAACAAGATATTTGGTTGCTGTTAAAAAATGCCTCAACTAAACAGTTTTGTTAGAGATAGTAAATTATTTTTCCTAGTCCAAATGTCATCTGGAAATCCTATCTGAGACTACTGCCTCAAGTCGCATTTCGTATATTCCGGCTTGTCTTAAGTTCATTTTCGTGAACGAAGCGAATGATTCGTACAGTGTCTGAAGCTAAACTTTGGACGACCTCGGCTGTAAGATTCGGCTATGGCTTACCCGAGACTTTAGCGTCATTTCCGGCGAGAAGTTTCCCCTGCGCCGCGGGAGATCGTGACGCTTAAGACGCGATTCACAATGGCTGCTGTGGCGGTCAACCTCTGACCTTTCGCTCCAAGTCATAGACACGATTTTTGGCAAGAAGCATTGCTGCCAGAAATCGCGCCAAGTCGCTTGAAGTTTAGAAGAATCGTGACTTGTGTGACCGAAACAAAGTCGCGGAATTTAGATCGAGATTTGACGATTTACTCTCAGACACCGTGATTTTCGTTTCTTCACGATCGCACGATGTGATACGTAACCGGACTAGCCTTGTCGCAACCTTTCGCCTTAATAGGCGATTAAAAATCACACGCCACTCGAAGTCGTCGTTCAAGGAGATATCGCCATTCGTTACACTTACATCGCACTCGTCGCGATTCTTAGAGAAAATCGCATCGCGAGTTTCATATCTAGACGCGAGTGTAGGGCGACGTTAATCTCCGCCGCGCGTCCGTTTTATTAATCGACTAATATGAGCGAGCCAACGACGGCAGCGGGTCGGCAGCTCGGAAGTATAACGTGGAGTCGTTCTCACGTTCTCAAGAGCGACGGGCGTTTTACGGCGACACCGCCGCAACAATGAGCGGAGAGGTGAAGAAAGGAGCAGAAGGGGGCCGGAGCTAATTTTTCGTACGACGCGACACAATTGCGCAGCAAAATCCGGAGCGGGCAGCACGGCGAATGTGGAGCGGCTCCGTTGTTCTCGTGTTACTCTCGGCCGTTCGCTCGCTCGCTCGGGTTCGCGACCGAGGTCGACCTCCTCGTAACGGAAGATGAATGATGCTTAGAGACACGTGTGTTGGGATACACAGAAAGCGGCTCGTGCACGACGCGAGAGAGCGAGAGATTTGAATGGCAGATCCGCGGCGTGATCAGTTCGACAACAGCACCTTCTTCAGTCGAGAGAGAGAGAGAGAGAGAGAGAGAGACGTCTCTCTCGAGGAGCGCTAATTGCGAGCGTGATGGATCCTTGGGAGCGAAGTATGCTTCTCTAGATCTCATCTCTCATTTAAATTCGAGCGGTCCTCACAGAGCGTTCACCGGGAAGACTGGTTTTTTTCTTCCCGGTGTGGGCGATTCGTATCGATAGAAGGATTATACGTGTTAAGAGAGCGCTTAATAAAGCCAGTTAACTCGCACACACAGACGCGCGTTCGTGGTCTAAAGTGAAATCGGAACAGAATGATTAAGAAGATAATTGCGTTTTCACTTTATCGCAGCCATCAATGTCACAAAGTGTAAATTACAAGCTCGTTACCGTTACTCGATGCCTCCCCGGGGACGGCGGTCCTCCTCTTCGCTGGACGTGTTCTAAGTCGCTGCGAGATAATTCGCCGTGTTTAGAGCCGCGGCTCGCATCTTAAACTCGGCGAAAGGCCGCATCAGCCGCGTATAGAAGAAACCTCAAGTGACACGAGCGTCGTATAAGCCGGATATAAAGGCCGATAAAGCTCGCCGGCCAATAAAGTCGCTCTCGATAAAGCCGCGCCGCGCACCGCGAAAAGAAGTTTCACCTCCTCAGGAACGGGTCTCCGGCTGGCGTCCCCGGCATAAAAGCGGGGAACCGCCGCGGCGCTCCACGCTGCGAATATCATTAAGTGTCGCCGTGTCGCGTAATGATATTCAGCGGTTCTCCACGCTGCTCGCGAGGTTCACGAGGTTAAGAACTTTCCAGGCTCGTGGCCGGAATGGCCGATCGCGCGCACGCCACTTTTGCGAGAAGAAGCGGAGGAAGTAGAGGAAGAAAGAACAACGAAGAAGAAGGAGAGAGAGAGAGAGAGAGAGAGAGAGAGAAGGAGAAGAGATACCGCTCGTCTCTCTCTCTCTCTCTCTCTCTCTCACTCTCTTTCACGAGGTGCCGGTCGGCCATGGCCTCGAAAAAAAAGTGCCCGAGTCCCGCTTTCCTGCCGTTTGCAATAATAATTAATACGAGCGAGGACGACCGCTCCTCGCCGGCGCATTACCTCTCTCGCGGATAGAACACGCGGATCTATCCGTCTCTAAAGAGAAAAGAGCAAAGGGCAGAGAGAACGAGAAAAAAAGAGACGCGATGGAGCGCTATTTCCATCCGCGATCTCACGCGCCAGGGAACACCGGCAGCGAAAACACAATTAGCGTGCGAACAATCCGGCAATCTCGTCCTTATGACTAAGCGCACCGCGCAGGAGAGGCAATTATTCCGATGAGCGCTGTAAATACCTCGCGTCTCACTTGCAAATTTGAGGCTCCGATCGCGCGCACGTGTGTGTGTGTGTGTGTGTGTGTGTGTGTGTGAGATTGATTTCGTGCTTTAGTGGTTCCATTAGCGCACGAATAGAGAAGGAAGGATTTTCCAGATTAAAAAATCAGGTTTTCAAGCCGTTACGTCGCCGAGGAACGATTACGATTACGACCCGTCGCCGTTTCTCTCTCTCTCTCTCTCTCTCTCTCTCTCTCTCCTTCTCCCGGACCACGATTTTTTTCTGTAATCGGATCCTCGCGCGCTCGCGCACACACCGGTTACCACCTTCGCGGAATGAGTCACGTAATGCACATTGTGGCTGGAAACAACTTTTATCGTTTCTACATGAATGATTTAACGCGTTTATCGCACGGCTTCGAATGCGATAGACGCCATAGAATAATATTACTAACGCGGGCCCGCTTTTTTCAAAGTCGCACGACGGCCGATTAAATAGTCCTCGTGGAATTTCTCGGCGTAGAGCTTGCCTCGAATCGCGACGAAATAAACGATTCCACCTCGCGCGAGCCGAAATCTCTCCTCCGTCGGCCGAATTTTCGGAAAAGCACGCGAGCGTTCGGCAATTTTCCCGGAGCGTTTTCCACGCTCCGTTGGCTGCACTCGTCTCTACGAGCGTCCGTTCGACGTTGCTCGAGTCGAAGCAGCGACGGAGTTTCATAGCTACGCTAACTATTCGTGTTGTGTTCCGACGAATGGATTGTCTGAGCAAACCACTTTCGCCATTTGCATTTCTCGAACGCCAACGAAAATTGCTTCGTATTGAATCGTTAGCCGGCATACGTGTCACCGCGCGACGAGCGAGCGACGTGCGTCGCTTTGTATCACGTGCCTCTTCGCATACTTCAAGAGCCTCGCATTGTATTATTTGCAGTCGTGAAATATTTATTCATGAAAGGAAAACGCCTGGCGACTCGAGCGCCTTCGCATTCTGATCTGTGCTGATAAATTGCGATCGCATTTGCAATCGCGAAAATCAAGAGAATCAAACAGCATTCTCTACGGAGATGGAGATAAGCGAATTAATAATGGTGGAGGGAGTTGTCGCAATTAATAATAATGAAGCAGACTCGTATGCGCCGGAAAATGCGAGAAATGCAGGAAGCGAAATGAGAACAACGAGAACGCGCGAAAATTCTCTCCGGTGTTCTCATTATTTTGCATTTTTCAAGGCTGCATTCGCGTGATCTCTCGTGAAACGCCGTTATTCAGCGAAGTAGCGATCGGCCGACGAAATTCCTGCGATGCCCGACTGCCGATTCATTTCACACCGCTGGAGAAGCCGGTGATCCCTGTTGCCGCTTCTGTAGAACAATCCGCGATCGCACGGTAATTGATTGTCGGAACCGCAAACGACTTTCGCCGCTTATGCCTTTGTCAGGCATCGCGAGTACGAACAAACGGATACGTATTCTAAATTTCTCTCCCCGCCAAGCGCGACGGCAGACGTGAGTACTCGCGACCGGAGAACCGTATCTCGCCGGGTCTTTAACCCCTATCGTGCATAGTTACACGCAAGAAAGAATACGCGCGCGAAGCGAACGGCTTTTCAAGCTGTCGTTGGCGATGCGCGACGAAAACGAAACGCGAGCTGCGCGAGGAAAGAAGCTGTCGTTGCTTGATCAAACTGAAAGAATTCCCTATAATATCTCACGACCGTTCTTCGCCCTGAAAAAGAGAAACGAAATTCAGTAACATCACGAAAGCGTGAGAAAAATCTATCGTCGTCGCTCATTAATAATTCTGCATCCTTCAGGATATCGAATTTTCCTCCGCTGCTTTTCCCCATTCACACACACACACACACACACACACACGTGGAAGGTATAGAGAGCACCAAAAACAGACACACTTTTGTTTTTCATCACAGATATAATCTCGGCAAATGAGTCAGCGGAATATCCTGTTAATTGGACACTCCCCCTCTCCCGCCCCCCCCCCTCCCCCGCCTACTGCGAGTCTAATAATAAACCCCGAGATCGATTTCAGTCGACTCTCGTCGCGGTTTCCCCCGACGATGCTCGAGCGAAGGCGATACGCACGCCGCGAGCCGCCGCGAGCCGGTGCGAGCGAGTGCATTAAACTCACCAAACTCTCGTTGTGCTTAGCTGTTGTTGCCGCGCTATCTCCGCCTTTTCACTTTCTTTTCAGGTATCGACCGGCAGAACCACCTGGAGGCTGCTGCTCGTCTGCTTGGTGGTGCTGCTTCTAGGCCTCCTCCAGCACACCGAAGGTAGCCTGTGATTTGCGCATTCGTTCGTCCGCGGCGGCGGCGTGTCTATCTTTTGTAACGATCGCTCGGCAAATCGTGACGGGCTCGGGCCATTAGCGAGCGATCTGAATTTTTACTCGGCCGGATAAAGGCGCGCGCGCGAGCGTTCGCGGGGGATGACTGGGTGCTTCGTCGTGCCGAAGCTGTGCCGATGATTCATCATCGATCGGCTATCGGCCGATTGATCGGCAACGTGACGCGCGTTGCTTCGCCGCGCGAATTTACGTCAGACATTACGTCAGAACGCGGCCGACGTCGCGGACGGTATCGCGGCTAATTATTTCTTCACCGTTCATTACGTAAATGATCCGCCAATGATCGGTCCCATCGATCTCTATCGGTGAGTCAAAGCGCTCGCGCGCGCTCGCGCGCGCGCGAGAGCAGCCTTGTCAATCGCCGGCAATCGCCGTTGCAGCAGCGCAAGCTCGGCTCTTATACAATGGGCCAAAAAGCGCAAAAGGGCCCGGCCGACGTCGCCGTTGCGCGGCGTTGCGCCATATGCAAAACGGTCCCAGCGTAATCGATTCTAACGGGTGAAAGGCAGCGGCCGCAGAAGTTCCGCGGCAGAATGTAAGCGCGAAATCTTACGCAACGCTGAAATACATATTCGTGCGGGTTGCGCGTTGCGCAATCGGCAGCCGTGGAGGAATCGAACGCGATTACTTTACGTAATTATCCGGCGATTGTTCATCGGTCTCTCTCTCTCGAAGGTGTGTGTGTGTGTGCGTGTGTGTGCTGTCGCAGGTGCGAGGAAGAGATTCCGCAGGCCGACCACTTCCGCGCCGTCGATCTCGAGCGATCAGGAGGTCTCAGCCAGTGTCAACAGGTTCAAGGTCACGCGAAATCGTGTCAGCAACAAGAGCTCGAAGAACGAGCTTCAACCCGGCAAGACCAGCGATTACAAGGTGGGTGAGACGCGCGCGCGCGCGCGCGCGCGTGCTCTCGCGTCGTCGGCGACGAGCGACACGCTGATGACGACGAGAGGCAGTCGCGCGACATGCAAATCGTTTCTCGGAACGTTCGTATTGGTCGCGCGTTAATTACGCGCCTTCGCGCGAGTCGACGGAATCGTCGGTCCCGAGGTTGTTCACTCGCCGCGCCGCGCCGCGCGGATCGGCGCGGCTCATCTGCGCGACGATAGGAAAAAGGAGAGGAAAAAAAGAGAACGGTGAATTAGCGTCGCGAAATTATACCGTGAGATTTCTGCGCGGCGCCTTTGCTGTAATTGATTTAATCGCTCGAATCGACTCCTTGACGCTCGCTCTTTGTGCGCGCTTCTTTTTGCTGCGGCTTTTCTCTCTGCTCGCGGGGACGCGGCACGCAGCGATATTAATCCTCAAAAGTCTACCGTCAGCCCGAGTTAAATTTTCTCGTTATGTTCATAGCAAAGTATAAAGCGAGAATTGACCCTGTTTTGTGTCATAATGTTGTCAATACTGATAGCGCGAATTCATATCTACGATATAAAATTGTCAGGGTGATTACGTTCTTTTTTTTTTTAATACGATAAGAAATTCGCATGGGGTGAAATTTCACCCTTGCCTTGGTAGCCTTGAAGGATTAATCGAGCCTGAGCGTAATCCAACACACTTCGCGCGTCTTCTTGAGAATGATCTCGGCCACTGGAATGTGACTTTATCTGAAAATGGAAAATGTACCGTCGTGCTCGCCGCGTGATGATCCCCCGGCATTAACAACCCCGCGTCCTTTCCGCCCACAGCTCGTGTGCTATTACACGAATTGGTCTCAGTATCGCACGAAGATCGGCAAATTCCTGCCGGAGGACATTCAACCTGACCTCTGCACCCACGTTATCTTCGCCTTCGGATGGCTGAAGAAGAACAAACTGACCAGTTTCGAGTCGAACGACGAGACGAAGGACGGCAAGACCGGCCTGTACGAGAGGGTGGTGAATCTGAAAAAAGCCAACCCGTCCGTGAAGGTGCTGCTCGCGATAGGTAAGCGCGGTCGAAGATCGTCGATTCTCAACGCGCATTACAACTAGATTATCGACGTGGCCCCTATGGTCGTTATTAACCATTATCGACGATAACCACCGGCGATCCTCTCTAACGCCGCCGTACGAAGTCACCGCCGTTATAAAACCACCATGACGTGTCCCCTGTGTTTTGCACATGCGCGCGCGTCCAGGTGGTTGGTCCTTCGGCACGCAGAAGTTCAAGGACGTATCCTCCACGAGATACGCCCGGCAGACCTTCATCTACAGCGCCATACCGTATCTGCGAGACAGGAACTTCGACGGCCTTGACATCGACTGGGAATACCCGAAGGGTGGGGACGACAAGAAAAACTACGTGCTGCTGCTGAAGGGTACGTAGACTCGCGACTCTCAAAGGGCATACACGCGGAATTCCACGCGGCTGGAAATGTCAGAGACGCGCACGTGCGATGCCGATCCTCGATTAAAGGCCGTTAAGGCCCCCGTTGTTTTATTAGCCCGCGGCTGACAGCCGCGGCGCGTTAGACGCGGCGCGCGTGCCGCAGCTGACATTTTCGCCGCACGTTCGTGCGCGTCCATCACGCCGCGCGACTCGCGGGCCCATTTCTCATCGTGTTCGTGCCGCTCGCAGAGCTCCGCGAGGCCTTCGAGGCGGAGGCACAGGAGAGGAAGAAGCCGCGTCTCTTGCTGACCGCTGCGGTGCCGGTCGGGCCTGACAACGTCAAGAGTGGATACGACGTGCCCGCGGTTGCGAGGTACGACACTGTGCGAACTGTCGCGTGGAGGTGCGACAGAGAGATAAGTTCCTAGGTAGATTTGGAGAATTGGTCACAATAGAGGTATATATTCTCTCGGAGGAACTGCAAACCCGTGTCGAGATAACTGAACCGCCGAATCGAACGCTACGGCACTTTTTAGGCTACTTTTTAGGCAGTCTGCGAACATTTCTCAAGAGCTCTTGTCGCTGTTATCTGTCGAAAATTTAACCAAAAGACACCGAAGAAACTTACTTACCGACATAAATTAACATTCAACTTGCGTTAAAATCGCCCTTGCTGCTCACTAGTCGCAAAGGAAACACGGTAGTGCTCTGAATCGAATCGGCACGCTCTGTCGTGCTTCGCGCTCTCGCCCCAATGTCGCGTATCGCGTATGGTACTCTTCATCATTTCAACGTCAATGCTCTTCTTCGCGCGATCAGTTACCTGGACTTCATCAATCTCATGGCCTACGACTTCCACGGCAAGTGGGAGAGAGAAACCGGTCACAACGCCCCGCTGTACGCCTCGTCATTGGACTCGGAGTGGCAGAAACAATTGAGCGTCGACAATGCGGCCACAATGTGGGTCAAGCTCGGCGCGCCGAAAGAAAAGCTCATTATAGGCATGCCCACGTACGGCCGGTCCTTCACCCTTTCGAACCCGGCCAACTTCCGCGTGCACGCCCCGGCCAACGGCGGCGGGAAAGCCGGCGAGTATACCAAGGAGTCTGGTTTTCTCGCCTACTACGAGGTACTTTCCAATCTCGCCTTCGCGGCGAGCTTTTCTATCGAGCGTGTGATAAATTGAGAAAATTTCGAAAATTCTTTCGCCAAGGAGAAGATGCGAGTACGACAAATAGAAATTTATAGAATAAGGAAAAGGGAACACGGGGAATTTCGGGCGAGACCGAACGATCTCAATAGAAAACGCACGCGAGATGCGACAAGTCTCACAAAGCATAAGGATCGCACTCCAATTAAGGTCGCCCGACATTAATCCCATGCCTTCGCGTCTCTAGATTTGCGAAATGTTGCACAACGGCGCCGCTTACGTCTGGGACGACGAGATGAAAGTGCCTTATCTGGTGTACAACGATCAGTGGGTCGGCTTCGACGACGAGAAGTCCACGAGAAACAAGATGCGCTGGCTGAAGAGCAAAGGCTACGGCGGTGCGATGGTGTGGACGGTCGACATGGACGACTTCAACGGCACCGTCTGCGGCGGGAATGTGCGATATCCGCTGATCGGTGCGATGCGCGAGGAACTTAGAGGTATTTCGCGGGGCTCCAGTGCCAAGGATATCGACTGGAGCGCGGTTGCCACCACCATCACGGAGACGATCGTGAAGAAGCCGGAGCCTTACAAAGTCTCCGTCTCGGAAGTCCTCAGTAAATCGAAGAAGCTCCAGAAGTCTACGCAACTCGTGATCAACACTCCGATTCAGGGTACTCCTACGTAATGTAATCGCTGAAGCGGAAATTTCCCTCGTACCGCGCGTGATTGAATGTGCGCGTGATTGAATGTGCGAACATTCTTTCATTCGCGTGATCATCTTCCGAGTATTTAAGACACCGCGATCGAGCAAATTCGTCTACGTAAGTAGAAATTAACTGGGGCGATAGTGAAGGTTTTCTTGCGCGTTGGCAGAGAGAGAAGCACAGACCATTTGCTACCTGACTAATTGGTCGCACAAGAGGCCAGGAATGGGACGATTCAATCCGGAAGACATCGACCCGACTCTCTGCACTCACGTGGTGTACGCGTTCGCCACCTTGAAGGAGCACCTGCTAACCGAAGGGAGCGACAAAGACGCTGAAATGTATCACAGGTTGATCGCACTCCGCGACAAGAATCCGGACATTAAGGTATCCGTCGTTTTGTACTTTCACAGATCTCGCAATATTATTTGCAACATCATCGTTGTCGTCGTTCTCAGCGAGAACAAGGGAGAAACACATGAAAATATTTTCAGATTCTGCTCGCGATCGGAGGGTGGGCGTTTGGCTCGACGCCCTTCAAGGAACTCACCAGCAATACCTTCCGAATGAACCAATTCGTCTACGAGGCTATCGACTTTCTGCGAGAATATAAATTCGACGGATTGGATGTCGACTGGGAATACCCGAGGTGTGTATTTCGCACTTGAATCTCAGAAATTGACTAACGTAAAGTGCTTCTAAAAATATAACACTTTTTTACGATATATATATAATATATCATAAAAATTATATATTAATATATCATAAAAAAACAGGAATATAAATACAATCGCACCTGTTTTTCGTGTTTTCTACCAAAAATGACCTTTCAAAACCTTCCTTTTACAGAGGAGCCGATGACCGAAGCGCCTACGTTAATTTATTGAAAGAACTCAGGCTGGCTTTCGAGGGTGAGGCGAAGAGTTCCGGCCAGCCAAAGTTAATTCTGTCAGCCGCAGTACCTGCCAGTTTTGAAGCCATCGCCGCGGGGTAAATCCATCCCAGACGCGTGATCGTAATTAATGTCGAGCAGGATCCAAATAAGCGCGGCACGAGAAGTTGAAAATCAAACTTCATGTCAACCTCTCCACAAAAAATGAATAGAATATAGAGGAATTCTAGCCTATCAAAGAATTAAAAGCTACATATCATCGAAAAAACATCAAGTTAATGCTATCATGAGTGAAACTTCATCCCAGTATATTTATTTATTTTAGAAATTAGAAAGATCAAGCGAATGCAATTAAATGTTTTATTATTATTGAATATTAGATGAAGTTAAAATATTGGAGAAGTTATTGTTTGCAGCGGATAATTTAAAATTTAATAAATAAAATCAAAATAAAATTCACACATGGGGTGAAATTTCACCTATGGGAGAGTCTTTAACCCTTTGCCAGCACAGCTGGCATGAACGTTTATTTTGGCAACTCGGAATGCCAGCTGTGCTGACATGAAAAAAATTTGAAGATAAAGATCCTTTTTCATAATTTTTTCCAAGAATTTAATTAGTTAAGTAAAATGTAATTAGTTTCGATAAGATGCTTTTCCCAATTAAGAAGCAATCGTAAATTTTTCATGACAAGTTACATTTATAATTGCCGAGTTGGTGGAAGGAAATGTAAAATATTCCTCGAGTGCAAAGAATTAATTATTATTATTATTGAAGATCAGACGAAGTTAGAATATTGGGGAAGTTATTGTTTGCAGCGGTTAAGGATTTAAAAAAGTCCTCATTTTTCCAGATACGACGTCCCCGAGATATCCAAGTATTTAGACTTCATTAACGTGATGGCGTACGATTTCCACGGCCAATGGGAGAGACAAGTCGGTCACAACAGCCCATTGTACCCTCTGGAGAGCGCTACCAGTTATCAAAAGAAGCTGACAGTGGTGGGTATGAAAACGAGGACGTGTGTGCGTTAGGATCAACATGGCCGCGACTATGAGGTTCTCCTCGTTCGTAGGATTACAGCGCGCGCGAGTGGGTGAAGCAAGGAGCGCCGAAGGAGAAGCTCATGATCGGAATGCCCACGTACGGAAGATCCTTCACGCTGGTCGACAAGGAGAAGTTCGACATCGGCGCGCCTGCCTCCGGCGGCGGCGTGGCGGGTAACTTCACCAACGAGTCCGGATTCTTGTCCTACTACGAGGTGCGCTACGATGCCATTCTTTTTTCTTCCATTTTTGAACTTTGTTTTGTCCCAGTAATTTTCGGTAATGTCGGTGACGTGACTTGTGTCGCAGCTGGTTTGCATCAAGTACACACATGCATTCTTTCGCATATTTCATGTTGTACGTTCTCGAAGATCGAAACTCCTTCCCTCAAGTTTCGTGCGACTAACAGTAATCTCTTAAATAGGTCTGCAGCTTCCTGAACGAAGACAACACGACTCTGGTGTGGGATAGCGAGCAGCAAGTACCGTTCGCCTACAGGGACGACCAGTGGGTCGGTTTCGACGACGAGAGGAGTCTCATTAACAAGGTATAGCGAGACATTTGTGCGTTAATACGCATCTTCAGAATCTGAGACTACGTTCGTCTTGCAGATGTCGTGGCTGAAGGAGGAGGGCTTCGGGGGTGTGATGATCTGGTCGGTCGACATGGACGACTTCAGAGGGTCCTGCGGGTCCGGAAGGTATCCGCTGATCAAGGCGATGAAGAAGGAGCTGCAGGGCTACAAGGTCAAGTTGGAATACGACGGTCCTTATGAGAGCACCTCGAGAAACGGAAAGTACACCACCAAGGACCGTAAGTAACCCAGACATATAATTTACATTTTATTGCTCACGACGGAGAGCGCGCTCGCGTGTCGCCGCGAACGAGTCGTCATTTCTTACCCGAATAATCCCCGCAGCGAACGAAGTGATGTGCGACGAGGAGGACAATCATATATCTTACCACGCGGACAAGAACGACTGCACGATGTACTACATGTGCGAGGGCGAGCGCAAGCATCACATGCCCTGTCCCGTGAATCTGGTCTTCAACCCCAACGAGAACGTCTGCGACTGGCCGGAGAATGTCGAGGGCTGCTTGCAGCACACGCAGGCGCCGCCCGTGTAGAAAGAGGCGCGCGAGCAGCGTATAAAATAAAGTGAATTTCTCTCTTCACACACGCGAGCGGGCGCCAAATTGTAAAAAAAAAAAAAACAACGCGGAAGGAAGCTCGAGGAGAAGTAATCATTATATCGCCGAGATATCATTCGCTAATTCGCAAGACAGAACGAGCAATATTATCGTCGCGAGTTATAACACAACGGGTTTAACGTTCATGAATTTCTTACCCCATTATTATTATCCCTCTCGAGTACCTTATCGTCTCTATACTCCTTTATTGCTACTTCCTAAGGATTCTCTCCCTCCACTCCTGTTTACGTCTATCTTCGCCATCTGTATAAAGCACAGACGAAAAATCATGACAATTGTGTTTGTAAATAAAAACAAATTCTTTTTCGGAAGGAACGGTGATTGTTTCGAGGAACGGAGGAGGGTATGATTTTTTCTCTCTCTCTCTCTCTCTCTCTCTCTCTCTCTCTCTCTCTCTCTCTCTCTCTCTCTCTTTCTCTCTCGCTCACAGCGCGGAGATAACGTGACGTAACGCTCGTGATTATTTAATTACTTTTATTGTTAACCTTACATAAAAAATCACACTGCTTCTTAGAAGTGTCTTTACATCTCTCTACGTTTCTTTGTCTACTTTGTGAATTTAGTAGTTAAAGTCTCTCTCTCTCTCTCTCTCTCTCTCTCTCTCACTCACTCACTCCCGCAACCTGTCGTGCGTGCGGTCGCTTAAATTGCCAGAAACCTCCTTCTCTCACCTTTAATTTAGAAACATATCACTCGAAGGAGGCCTTGACACTTGCGCAATGTACACGATGCTTTCTTTATATTTCAACGGCACTGAGAAATTTAAAATGAAAGCCAAGATAGTCGAGTCATGATGTTGCATCATTCAAATCGCGCGAAAAGTATACAACGTATGGAACATAAGTGACGAGCTTTGCGACGATCATTCCGGCGTTACTGGAGAAACGATAATTTACGCGGCTAATTGTCCGGCATAAAATCAAGTCAAACAACGTATCGAACCGCTTACGATATTTTCTTCCTTGGAATAGAATTCTACACTCGGAGAGAGAAATATCCCAGACGGCATAAAGTCCTAAACGATGTCTTCGACAGATAGATAGAGAGAGAGAGAAAGAGAGAGAGAGAGAGAGAGAGAGAGAGAGAGAGAGAGAGAGAGAGAGAGAGAGAGAGAGAGAGAGAACATCCGAAAGACGTCTGACATTTCTTTTTAGACACTTTCCAGACGTCTTTCAGAAGCTCACAAGATCGGTCTCCTTCTGCCGAGGAGAGTCTTGATCGCGCCGCGAATATTCATCTACGCTTCGGAATTAAGATAGCTAACGACGTGAATGACATTTCGGCAGTTTCGAGCGCCGAAAACTTTCCGTTGCCGCACGGCAACCAGCGGCCAATTAATTAACAACGGAAACGAGGATGAAGAATTTGACGAAGGTCAGCCAGGCCGTCGCCAGGCGTTCGTAATTCCCCGAGCTGAGGGCGGACGCTTGGCAGGCGGTGTGCGGAGTACCGAGCGTCAGCAGGACCTTGTCGGACGAGTACGACGGAGTGGTCTCCGTGCAAACAGCTCGGCCGGCTATGGTCCTTAATTGCCTGGCGTCGGATTGCGAGGCCGTGTGGATCTGCCGGGACTCCCTCAGCCACCTGCGCAGCCACAGACTCAGCCACGCGATCTCGCAGTCGCACTCGAGCGGGTTTCCGGATACCTGCAGCCCACCTGAGGAAACGTTACCATTAAAGACGTGTATGCCGGCTCTGGAGCATCTGGAGCGTTTGGTGTTCGCTTGACTTCACCAACGACCGGCGCAAGCTCCGGATCGTTTATTGGTTCGCAATGCTGGAATTGCCAAGAGTGGTACAAATGGCCGAAGTAACTTTCGAAGAGAATCTTTTTGTTCCAACTTGTAACGATGCATTCCTTGAGATTTGCGGTGACACGTTTTCCCTTGTGTTATCAATAGCAGGCTGTAAGTGAGACGAGTAACGAGCTTACCGGCCACCATGTTGGTCCCTACAGTCTCCCAAGAGAGATTCCCGTAGATTATCGACGGACTCAGCTCGTTGATGTGGTTGTTCCTCAGGTCCAGCGTGAGCTGCGACAATCTCTTCGTCAACAATAGAAAAATATCCGACTGCAGTCTGCGGACGTGCGTGTCCTTGATTCGCAGTATCAGGTCGCCGCCCTCGATGGTGGAGAACGCCTCGGAGGAGATCAGCTCGAGATCGCTTCCGGTAATCGTCAGCTCCTTCAATTGCTTCGTGAAAGCATTCTGTATCTGGTGTTTCAGCAGGTGCTCCGTTACTTGAATCTCGACCGTCCGGAGCGGTAGGCCGGATAGCAAGTGACGGAGATGAAAGCCGTCAGCCTGCGGCCACGTCTGGATGCGCAGGTGTTTCAGGTACTTCAACGGCCGGAGGCAATCCTTGTCCACTGATTTGGTGCGATTTAGGTTCTTCAAATTTAATTTTTCCAGTCGCAGATAACCCAGGAAGCTCTCCTTCGTCAGTTCCTGTAAAATCATCGAGCGTGTTATCGAGATTTTTTACCGTCTTCTTCGGAGACCTTAACAAGTGATCGCGTCTGATTACTTGAATTTTGATGAATATCCGGATTTAAGACCGATAGATTTAGATCGAGGAGTTGATATTCACCTCGATAGGATTACCGGAAACGTCGAGTTCCCTCAGAAGATTCAATCTAACGCCAGGCATCGATGTCAACGAGTTATTGACCAATAAGAGGATCTTCAGACCTTCCAAGAAACTGAACTGCTTATCGGCAGTCTCGTCAATATTATTGAACGACAAGTCCAAGACGTTCAAGTTCGTCAATGGTAGCAACGGTACGCTTCTAAGACCGCAGTTGGCCAGATAGAGTTGCCTGAGGTCCGGCAGGTAGTGAAATAGCTCCTTGAAGTTCGCCTGAAGAATATTCTGCGACACGTTCAGGCTCAGTAATTTGCCCAAGGAGACGAATGAATTATCCGGCAGGATCGTCAGACGATTTTGCGCCAGATTCAAGGCCACCAGCTGAGAAGTCGGGAACGCGGTCGAGTCTAGGTGGTCCAAGAAGTTTTCCGCCATGTTGAGATCCCTCAAGGTGTAGCCGACCTCCAAGAATGACGCGGAGGGCACGGCAGTGAATTTGTTATGGCTCAAGTCAAGGATTTCCAGCCTGGTGCCCTCGAAAACGTCTCTCGGTAACGATCGGATCTTGTTGTTAGAGAGATTCAGGATCCGCAGATTCTTCAGGTTCCGAAACTGCTCGGTCGACAGCTGAGCGATCTCGTTTCCGCCTATATCCAGTCTTTGAAGAGAGTCCAGACCGTGAAAGGACTGCTTGCGCAACGTGTCGATCTTGTTGTCCGTTAAGTCCAGAGTTTCCAGGTGAGGAAGCGCGAACGTTCCTGAAATGTCACCGCGTTTGGATTTTTACCACCCGTAGATCGCAAAGATCGTCTACTTTGCATTTCGAGAAATAAATCCAAGCATATTATATTAATCCACAGTAAAGAAGAAATCTAAAGTAGCTGAGAAAAATTTACAACTGTTTGAAAACAATGCAAGCAAGACGAAAGAAGGAATTTCAAGAAATCATTATTTTTTTATTCGAAGGACAAGAGATAGCCGGTCTCCTTTACTTGAGTGTACTTGAAACTTTCTCATGAGAGACGTTTTTCAGACATTTTTACACAATGTTTCCTCACCCGGATCGATGGTCGTGAGAAAGTTGTTCTGCAGATTGAGGCTCTTCAAGTCGGGCGTGCCGTAAAATGTGTCCGGGGACAGATGGCTGATGTTGTTGAAGCCAAGGTCCAGTCTAGTGAGATTGTTCATCGAAGACCCCGAGTCGACGAACGCGATCGCGTTGTAGGAGACGTTCAAGGCGAAGTCGGGCCCACCGATCTCCGAGATGGCACCCAGGTCCAACACGGTGAGCTTGTTGAACTCCAAGTGAAGGAAACGCAAGCTGGACAGACCGTAGAAAGCGTTCCTCTCCATCTTCTGTATCCTGTTGTAAGCTAACGAGATGGTCACCAGCTTGGGACAATCTACGATCGAGCCGGACGCCAAGACCTTTATTCGATTTCCAGTGAGATCGAGAGAACGTAGCTCAGTCAGGTTATGGAAGCTCGACTCCGGGATCGCTTCAAGAAAATTGTATCCCAGCTTGACGTCTTTCAGCTCGGGGTGCACACTCGAGAGGAATATTCTCTCGGGCAAATAGTGCAGCCTGTTGGACTCCATGCTGATGTAACGCAGCTGCTGGAACGAGTAGAAGGCCGTCGCCTCGATCGTCTGGAAATTGTTGTTGTCCAAAACCAGCCACAAGAGATTCGTCAGCGGTCTGAGTGCACGTTGCGGGAACACGTCCGTGGCGAAGGCGAAGCTCAGCTCGAGGATGTCCAGGCTCTCTTCGATACCGACGAAGCAGTCGTCGTCGAGTTCCGTCAGATGATTAAACGACAGGCTGAGTTCCTTTAATTTACCTATAAAAGTGTCTGTTAGGAACAGTTTCCGCGGCCATACAAAGTAATATTAGTGATGAGAAATTTTTTCGGCCGATAGAAAGGAAACAACAGAAAGAAAAAATTATATAAAAGAAATATAATCTCTCCCCTCTACACACACACGTATCGTGTGTGAGAGAGAGAGTGCGGAAAGGTAGGCGTATAAACAATGTAAGAAACTTAATTATAAAGTATTAATGGCATGTTACGTCCAATAATAATGGCTGTGGCGCGTGTATCGTTTATCTCGAATAATACACTTCAATCCTGAATAATACACTTTCGCAATAGGAAACACGAGCAACGCACCAGCCCCCTTGAAGGTCTCAGCTTTCAGTTTCGTCAGGACGTTGTTCCTCAGCAGCAGGATCTCAAGATCTTCGGCCCACTCGAAATCACCCGGCTCGACGTGGGAGATCTTGTTGTAACCGAGATTCAGGTGCAGTAGCCTCTGGCATCTGTTACGAAAATCGATCATCGGAACATTGCATCCAGCTCTCGTTGGCCGCTATTAAGATCTCATATTAATAGCCTGTATCCTCGCGCTGTGTGATTTATTTTGACCTTTACGATCTATAACAAGGAACTCCATATATAAGAATGTAGTACAAGAACGCGCGTAATAGCGATCGGGCGGTCAGTCTTCGCGAGAACTCGCGTGAAGTAACGGCTTTGAAAACGGCTTTCTCACTTGAAAAGCGCGGCGCGATTTACGTCCTTTGTTAATTGAAATATCGCTATCAGTTTGTCATCGAACCAGACAAAAAGGTTCAGACAAAAAAACTTCTCTGCAGAAGTGTAATTCCTTGATTATTCAAAGCAATTCAATTTAACTCCTTATCAGTCGTCTTTGCTGCTGATCGGCAAAGACAATAATAATTGGAGATTTAATTTGATTCAAACACACACCAATAGCTTCTTGATTGAATTAAATTGAATGGTACAAATCTCGTCAGCGCTTGAGTCATCATATCGCACGCAGGAAAAATTTGGAAATACCTGGACAAAGCGGCCACTGGCACCGCGTCCAAACTGTTAGTCGCGAGGGAGAGAGCCTTCAGATGCTCGGCGAATTCTTGAAACGCCTCGCTGGAGATATTCCGAATCTCATTATTAGCCAGGTAAAGGTACGACAACGTTCTCAACTGGCTAACGGCGCTCGGCACCGCCGACAGATCGTTGTTCTCCAGATTCAAGTACTCGAGAATGTCTTCCAGGCCGTGAAAGGCCTCATCGTCGACGTTTCTGACACCGTTCGACGATAAGTGCAGTCTTTTGATCTCCAGGCGATCGAACATTCTACCTGGCAGCGAGGTCAGTTTGTTACCGGCGAGATTGAAGTCCACCACCTTCAGTGTACGATTGCTCAACGTCGTCTTCATCCACTCGATGGAATTCTCGCTGATGTCGATCAGCTCCAGACTGGAACTGCGGAAATCCGGCAGTTCCAGGTAGCCGATGTTATTTCCCCTCATGTAGAGCCAGGTGAGGCTTTTCAGGCCGCCCAAAGACTGCGGGAATTCCTTCAGAAGGTTATTGTTGATGCTCAGGGTGTGCATATTTGGCGGCAAACACTCCTTAGGGAACTCCTCGATGTTGTTGCTGTCTACGTTCAACCACACCAACGCGCCGAAGCTCGAGAACAGCCTTGGCACCTCGGTGATCGAGTTGTCGCCGAAGAACGCGTTCGATAGGGTGTCTCTGGTGCGGCCCCAGTCGCCGTCCAATGACGTTAGGTGATTGCTGATAATTGGCCAATTTTTCCTCACTCATTGCATCAGTTTATTACGTATCGGTTAAAGTCTTATTTTATTACATCGACTCGTGTGTCGCCACGTTTGTTTTTCCCCCCGGCCACGACGCGAATGGCCACTGTGTCGTGTCGACGGTGCCATTCGTGTCGATTGACAACCGGTTCTCTTTGGGGAAAAACGTCGGTTTGGCTTCTTTCATATTTACGTGCGAGAACGCGGCTAAAAATGCTTTTCGTTAAAATTCAACGAGCCGCTTCGTTAATATCACATTTCGTTGTAGCGTCTTGACTTGACTTTCGCGCGCGAGACACGACGCGGTCGTTCAGCGACGTTGCAGAATCTGTACTTGTCATACCTGTGCATATTCAGCCAATTCAGCTTTTTCAGATCGCGAAAGGCCTTGAAGGGCACGTCCTCGAGGGAGTTGTAGCTCAGATCCAGCGAGCGTAGACTGTCCGTAATACCTCTTGCAACAAAAGAAAACGCAGAGGCGTCACAATCTTGGGCGCAAAACAGTTTCAGGAGAATCCCACACGAGCTACATTTTTCTCGTATGTAGATTTTGCATGTAAAAAGAAAAGAAAAGAAAAGATAGAACATGAACTTACAATAGAGATTTGTCACCTATGCTGGATAATCGATTGCTCATCAGCCCCAAGGCTTCGACACCCGCGGAACTTGCAAGCGCGTCGTTGTCCAAAACCTGCATCCCGGAGCCGACGATGTCCAGCTGCGTCACGTAACTCACCGACACGTCTGAAGCAATTCGCATAAAATTAGTTCGTTATATATCGCGGAATTTATGCCAAGCGGCTTTATGGTAGCGACTGCACTCTGAGGATTCAGACGAACCAGGAAACCGCGCGAACGGAACTCCCATGCAACTGATGTCCATCTTCGTGAAGTCGTCGTCGTCGTCCTGGACCCAACACATGCACATTGTGTTGAACGCGCACGGCACGTTGTAACATTCTATCACTCCGGGGCTCCACAGGAGGAAAAGTAGTATATTCGCGAGACGAATCGCGTTGGGCGTCATCTGCAAAGGCGGAAAGCGAAGATTAAAAATACCTTCTCACATAATAAATGAGAGGAATAGTTATTATAGCCATGCATGTACCATCGACATCTTTCGGTTTCTGACACAATTGTACGTATTGAGACTCAAGATAGATAGCATTGTTACGCTGAGAGATTATTGTCAAAAATCTGTTAGAAAATATAGCGAAGAAAATGCTCCGCTGATAAAATATTTGAGAATTCGTGACTGTGTCAAACTATCTATTCAGTCGTGTCCATGCAATTGTAATAACGAGCAGACCTTGTCCAGGACTAGATCCAGGTGATCTCCCGGAGCTCCTCTCCCGGAAACTGACGTACGTCAGATGGGCTTCAAAAGCGAGATACTCATCTCAGTAAAGCGTCGATTTTCAGGATACCTTCATGGCTCTCGAGCGTTGGCTTTATCCGAGACCAGGAGGCAAGCAAAACATGTCGAGGACTCGGCTCGTGGACGATTGGTAAAGCGCAAGTGCAAAGCTCGGGAAAGCGCAAGCGCGTGTCCGGGCGACCTTTATGGATCGAATAAGATGCGACTCGCGATAATTTCTAGTAGGTAGGAACTTGAACTAGCTCAACTCTATTTGGAGTGTGATTTTTATTTACGAGCACACGCCATTAACAATTTAAATCGCATTGTTGGCAGGGAGAATGACGTTCTCATCAGACTCGTACAATTATGTAAAAGACAAATTATATTGTGTAAAAATTTCGAGAAACATATAGGAAGACGAATCTTTCTTTTGGCTTCAGGATACGACAAATCACCGTGACTTTCTCCTGCGTCTCCAAGTGGCGAAAAACTTTCCGATGAAACTGGTATTTCTCTAACAACGGCAGATCAGAAAGTGTCTCTCACCAATTTCGATGAGACTTTTGTGTGATATCTTATTAGGTAAGCCAAGAGAGAAGCGAAAATCAACCGAGAGCCACACCTCTAGGCCAAATCCGTACAAGCAATTAGTTTTGAAATGATGAGATAGATATAAAAAAAAAAAATTACAAATAAACTCCATAATGTTTGATCTGCTTTATAATTTAACACGTTCGAATCATCTTTAGTTTTAATTTATTTTCAGCTCCGTCTCTCTCATTGTCGATTTAATTATTATTTAAATCTTAATATTATTAATTATAATATCAATAATATTATTAATAATGATATTAATTATATTAATTTAATATTATAATAAGATTTTTTTAATATCCAATGTCACAATTCTCAGGGAATTGCATAAGAAATTGCGTCAGTCATGTGCAATTATTTTCTATAATTGCATTATTAGGATACGAGCTGTAAGGCCGCGCTCCAAGTGGTAGCAAGCAGATTACGTCCCGTCCGACGCGTCACGCTCGAAGTAGGTACAGCCGCATTACGCCTGGCCCGCGCGCACACGCTCTAAGTGGTGTCAGACGCGTTGCGTCCGCCGCATGTACGCTCGAAGTAGGTACAGACGCGCTACGTCTGTCCCGCTGTAAGTAGGTGTAAGCCGCGTTACGTTGTGCCGCCGCTTAGCCGCTCCAACCAAACAATGGCAAATCTCTCTCTCTCTCTCTCTCTCTCTCTCTATTAGCCGATTCTAACATTATAATGATCTCACATTCACGCCGATAATGTCCAATATCCAATGAGATATCTTCGCGTCGTCGTACATGGCAAGAGCATGCGCATCGTAATTACGGGCTATTAAATAAAACGTAATCACATAATTGCACCGTACAAGATAATTCACTTAAATTTGCGGATAAAAAATGACGCTCAAGATTGCTAAACCGCGCGCTGAATATTAATACGAGCGTGGGATCACACGTGGAGTGCCGACGGTAAAGCGCCCGACCCGCGCGAACGGCGCTCGGAGGATCGAAGTCGAGGAGCGCGATCAAAACCGCAAATAAAAGAAAAAAAAGAAGCGAGAGAAGCGAATTATCTTGCGCAGGTGTTAAATATCCGGGACGACTAGGCATCTCGTCCCGCTGCGCCGCGCTAAGGTATACGTACATACGCGGATTCATCCATGGCGTGAAGCCAGTTTCTCCGCAAATTTACACAGGACCGCACGTTTCCGATAAGAGTCCGGCTCTCGCACCTGCGGCTCGGCCCGGCCGGTCCCGACAGTCGCTGTTGGAGAGAGACAGAAACAGAGAAGAGCAGACAAGAGACGAGGGAAAGGAGGAAGAGGAGCAAGAGAGCAGAGAACGCGACGAGGAGAGGAGAAGAAGGTGGAGGAACCCGGAGAGCTTGTCAAAAAGTGAAAGGTTGTCCGTCTCCTTTACCCCCACACGCGATCTGGATCTCCGGCAGAACCGATATCTACCTGTCTCCCTTCCTCTCTCTGTCTCGCTTTCTCCTTCTTTCACCTGTGTTCTCTCTCCTCCTCCCCCCCTCCCGCCCCTCCGCGATCCAATACGAACGTCTCTGCATGGTGGCACCAACACCACCAGCCAACGACACCATCGCGGCGCGCGAACGCGCCGGCTCTCGTTGATGCCCCGAGGATGATTTTCATTCAGGACTTTGCAGTAACGCCGAGACGCCGAAAGCGGCGATTTGCGCGCTCGCCGATGCGCGCCGATAAGTGAAGCTTTCCGCACGTACGTGCGAATTCAAAGCAGGCCCGAGCACGCGGCCGGCCGGGCCGGGCGATTAATTCATCGAGCGACCGAGCGACGACGAGGAATCGTCGCGAGGCGGACTCTCGTTCGCGCGCGCGCGCGCGCTCGCGAGGATATGTGACGATAGTCGGGAGACGGGCGATGTCGGGTCTCGTTCGGACTTTGATCCTGGTTTGAAAGTGACGCGTTTTCGGCCGGCTGCTTCCTCATCGGCACGCTGATCATCGGCGACGGAAAGTTATGAAAAGGGCGGCCGAGCGGTAACTATAAGCTCCGAGTCGCGAGGCAGAGCCGGTGTATTTACGTGGCTCGCGCGAGGATAAGGTAAACAGCACGTGTGTGTAAAGGAGCAGGATTCAGCACGGCGCCGAGCCGCGATTCCCCGATTCTTGTTTCATTCAAGTCGGTCGTGAAGACGAGAACGAAGTATCAGACACGTGTCGTGCGAATGCGATAACCTTTAAGCGCATCTCTTGATTTACGTTATCGCCGGTCATCGTTCCGTCGTGTCGATAATTCGGAGGAAAGTCGGTGATTTGAATTATTTGACCGAGAAACTTGATGAAGAGACGTGGGAGCGAAACTTTATCATATTATTTAGAAATTCCAAGGAAGAAGCGACTTTTCCCTCGAAAATCGATCGTCCTCTCTCTGGCGCTTGATCGAAACTTAACGCGACGTAAAGTTGCGAGCGTAAGCGCTCATTCACGCGAGTCAGCGCAAGTCGCTTATTGTGTCAGCTCCTCTCCCGATCGAGTACGACGAACGAGCGCGAGCCGCGAGAAATGCCAGGAAACTTCTTGTTGATCTCGTGATGAATTGCCGAAGTGGCAGTGATCTCGTTTCTTCGGTGGCACTCCCGTTCGTTTCTCACAACAGCCGTCGCGAAGAGTAAGCGGCGACATGGAAGAAAATATCAGCTGCATGGAGGAAGAATGTCTGATCGAGAGGAGGAGGACGACCACCCTGAAGGAGTGTAAGGAGATATTGCAGGAGGAAAGATCCGGGCGTTACAGCAAGGAAGCCTTCAGGAGACTCTTCCACGATCAGGTATCTGTCCGAGACACGAGTGGAAATATAAAACTAGACATATAAATAATAATAATAGTACATAATAATAGATGCGCTTTAACGAAATAACGGTAGTGTGAAACCAACTGGTGGCGAATTTTTGTTCATTCCTTCTGTTCGTTTTCATTCCGATGAACTCGCTCTCACCGGATTCCGAAGAAAACGTTTTCCGAGAGGCGTAAGAGTTGAAGATATAAATTAATCGGAAAGCATCGCGATCTCGTTGAGAGATAACGTTTCGCAGAATCGTCAAGATTAAGGGAACAAATTAATTGAAAAAGACTTGTACCTCCTTGAGATTTACACACGAGCGTCCGGTGAAGAAGTTGTCACGATCATTCTGACACGGAGCGAAATTGCCGCTCTTATTCGCAAGAGACTCGAGGATCATACACGGCAATTTCCGATTTACGACACACCGACTGATTTTACGGCTGACTGATTTTAAGCCTTTCGACGTATCCCCTCGCGAAAAGTGAGTGAAACGTTATCCCTTAGAAGGAAAGCGTAAAATCGTGTAAAAAGTATCGTACCTCATGAAAGGGGCCATTATTAAACGACAAGCTCATTAAATCGTAAATCCGAAGGTTCGGCACAGAGAGACAAACAAAACACGGTCGAGCAATTTAAGTAGCCCGCTGACATCATTATGCTCGTAAAAACTTTAATTCCATGCAGAGTCTCATGGTTAATGGACCGGATAAAAAGCATTTGCTAAACGATGAATTATAAACGAAACGTCGGACATCTCCCCGCGGAGAAGAAAGAGACGATCGCTATTGTATTATTCATTCATGAACGGGGATCCCCAAACGAGCTTCTTTACAAAGGCGGCTGCAAAACAAGAGAAGCTACTTGTATCTACACGAGATGTACACATTATCTTGCCAAGGATAAAAATAATTATGTCTCTATGTATCCTTAGTCGCGGCTGTATCTTCATTAAGATTGTGCAAAAAGCTGCGATAACGTACAAGTTGCAAAGCAACCTTTTGCTGTTTACCAACACAGTAAGGAGGATAGAGCGTCCTCGCGATGGCAATCTGGTCGCGGCACTTTCTTAAAGTGGCCATGAAGAATTGCAATTATTGTAATTATTGGCTCGCCGTTTCACTTTCTTTCGCGAACCGCAGGAAAAAAAGGCTCGCGTGGCACTAGACGTGAAATCTCGAAATTACATCACAAAGTCCCGGGGATATTGGCTCGTCGAGCGCGATTCTTGCAAAAAAAAAAAAAGAAAAGAAAAAAAAACGAAAAGAAAGAGAAGGCAATGAAGAAGAAAAAGGAACTTACGATTCCTCGCTATCGGCGTTTCTTCGGGCCGTAATTTATTTCATATCCGAATAACGAGATAATATATGTTCTCGTTAAGCGCGAAAAATGGCCGCAATCGATAGCCGAAACCGTGAGAATTCGAGTCTGAACGTCGTAACGAGAAATTCATTGCTCCAAGAAAATAGTTGAAAGTCCGAACGCAGAGATCTGACCAGGCTACTTTCTCGGCAAACGAATTACTTAACATTTGGCTTTGGAAAAAGGATATACCAGCCGATTGGTTGGACACGAGAACGAGGTGGGTTTAGATAAAACGTACACGGCACAAGAAACGACGCGGACTTACTGGTTGCGATTTTTGTCAGAAGAAACCGACCTAGTTTCGAAGATTGATAACCGATCGCCAGAATTACGGTGGCGCTCTCGTCGGTCGTTCTCCCGTCGGCGATTTAGAATAAAATATTTCGCAAAATCGTGCGACGAGTACACTCGTGCGATGAATACACTTTTCATTCCTACGAAGCCGCTCTCTTAGACGGTCGCACGGTCGGCTGTAACAAACTAATCTATATAAAAAGATCTCTATAAGCTCTCTATAAGGTAGCGATCGGTCATCCAGTCAATCATTTCACACTCCGGCGGAATGCGCTGTCATTATACCGACTTCGACTTGCGCAACGCGCAATTTGACAAAATTGACGCGTACACGTTGCGTGTGAGGCGTCGAGAGGTTGAACATGAGACTTCAGTCCTGTCCATTTGTCTTCGCGTTTCAGACAAATTAAATGCACGCAGTACATAAAATATTGGCATCTCTCTCTCTCTCTCTCTCTCTCTCTCTCTCTCTCTCTCTCTCTCTCTCTCTCTCTCTCTCGGCATTACCGTAACATTGAAATTCACAGAACGAGCTGAATCATCGATGAAGAAGTGATTTTCGTCTACGTGAATTTATCGCCACTTTATCATCTTCCGAGGGAAACTTTGAGAGATGAAGCATCGTACTTCTTCTAGTAGCCGCCATCGAGTCCATTCGCATGATGGTACATGTATCTCTCTTTCTCTCTCTCTCTCTCTCTCTCTCTCTCTCTCTCTCTCTCTGTCTCTCTCTCTGTCTGTCTCTTTTTTCTCAATTATAAGAAAACACGTTGCTGTCTAAATAAGGCGAGCCGCGCCGTAAATACGACGTGGGTTTTCCCATATCGGGCCCGAAGTGGGAAGTTTCGACGCTTCGCGATCGCGGAGGCCCAGCGCGACGTTTTATCGGACAATCGTCTCCGCGCTCGCGCGAGAGATCGCGATCAGCGAGCAATGAGTTCACGCTCGAGAATCCGCGCGTCGCCGTAGGAAAAGGAGACCCGAGGCGGCGGTGACGATACGATCGAAGGAAACGGGGGGTCTCTATCGAGGGCCTCCGGTTTTCGATCAAGGTGGCCGATCGCCCCAGGCGCGAGGCCTTGATGCTCCCCGAGCACCTCCGTCACTTGGGACCGATCGATCGATCGCAGGGACCAGTCGTAGAGTAGAACACAGCGCCGGCTGGGGCCGACACCTCGTTTACTGACCATCCATTAACCCTTTAATCGTCATCGTTACGAATCGCCGACACGCTATCGGCCGCCATTATCGGCCGGGCATCGTTAAGTATCACGTCGTTAAAAAGTATACGTTTCTTTCGATACCGAGGGCCGACTGATCGGAGGAGAAAGAGAAGCGAGACGGGACGATCGTTAAATAAGATATTTGTTTAATTTAAGGAAAGAACGCGCGGTAAGGTTTGCTTGAAACTTTGCTCGCGAAAAGTAATATTGTGAGCAATAATATCGGAGAAGAAGCGATAACAACACCGTTATATTAAATGTTATTGAACTAGAAATAATAATGTTACAAGAGAACATGTCCAACGTTCGTTGAATCGTTGATAGATATCGATAGAGACACCGGGAAAGATGTTATCGCGTTATTTGTACAATCCGTGATTCTGTTTCTACCTAGAATTTCCATCTGGAAATAAAATAATCGCGTATGTGATTCACAATAAGAATCATCATTATAATCATTATAATTATTATAAGCAGAAGAGGAGGGAGAAGAAAAACATGGTCGTTAATTTTGAGTTACAGAATGCGCGACGTCATTAGGTGCGGTTTAGAGACTTATAAATCCAAACGTCAGCAGCTTGCGCGCAAATGTACGCGCGTTTTACACATGTTCGCAATATTGAATAGCGAGATCAACATCGGCCTTTCAATGGGGAACCTTCGCGCGGAATTGTATCGTAAAGGTGACTGTGGCTTGTCGTATCGAGCCAGTACAATTGTCATGATTGATTATCATTTCCTCTCGTACCTGTGCGAGAGAAAAGCACTAAGAACGGCCGATTCGAGACATCGAACGTTCTTCTCTTGCATCGCTAATTTTAGAAGCTAGTCGCAGATTAGTCATGGCACCGTAACTATAGTATGAAACGCCGTCCTTTACCCGCGCGGTTCCGGATTGGTTTAAGTATGCTGGAATTTCTTCTCACGGACATCGCGTACTCGATACGAGTATCTTACTAACAGAAATATCAACAGTTGATTACATTATATTATTACACAAGCATAGCAGCAGGGTTGTATCCTCAAGGGATTTTCCAGCGGCAGGTCCTCTTTTATCATTTAATTTGCTCTTTCGTAGCGAATCCTCCGCGTCCAGATCGCTAGGAAACAAAACAAAACCAGAATCAGATCTTCTAAATCTCAAACACTGAATATTGATAATCCGTAAATAACAGCGCCGATCACCTTCGATCACCTGCGGCAAAATTCAACGTCATTGTCGTGCACATTTTTCTTCTCACTTTCATCATGACGAATATTTTCGTTAACGTCCGCACTGAAATCCGGGAACAAAGTATGCTCCAGCCGCGTGAGCGAGCCGCCGAAAACTCGACGCCAGCTCGTCGCAGAGGACGCTATCGAAATAAAACAAGAGAACAGAAAGCAAGATCGAAGGATACTCACCTCGTGCCGGCCGCGCTCACCGTCTGTGCTCTACGAGAGCAATATTGGGATAACGCTTCTGGATCTCGGCACTACGTGCCGAGGGAGCACGCGGTGCAGTCTCTCGTGACATTGACCCATATCCTCCGAATGATCGAGCGAGTGAGATACGCACGTGGGTACGTGTGTGTAACAGACTCGCCGCCGAGATCCGCGCCGATGGTGATCGATATGCGTCATAATCGACGTTAAAGCTGTCGCCGCGCCGTGCGCACCTTAGGCTAGAATTTTAATAAATCTGCTCCAGTGTCCCATTATCATGCATTAACTTTGCCCCAGATAATATTCGTGGCTCGGAGCGGTGGCCGTTAAAGCGACGGAACGCCTGTGTGCCTGATACGTATTTCAAAAAACACGGTCCTTCGCGAGCGACTCGTTCGGTGTCGATTCGCTCAGTCGCGTCGATTTGATTAGATGTAATAATGAGTATTACAGAAAGCTCGTCACAAGTGTAACATTTGCACGCCGCTTACGACCGATCGGTGTCTTTCAGGTGCTCCTTGGGAAATTATTTATATTGTTCGATCAGGACCGTGACGAGCTACTGAAACAGGACGAATGGATCGAGTTTCTCAAGAGGCGGTTGACGTGAGCTCTGTTCTTTTCTTTTCCATCATTTAAGCACATACGTATTTTTGCGCGCATGATTTGTAATCTCTTGATGATCTACACGCATATCCGCCCTCATAATGCGTCATCATCTTCGTTGTTTCAGAAACGAGAAGCAAAATGACTTTGTCGATCAGATCGAGAGCGTGGCGTACGTGCTATGCGGCGAGAATCCGATAAACCTCGCCAACTTCCGGCAGATTTTTCATACCAAAGGGGTGAGAGAGAACGCGTTACTTCTATATCTAGAGAAAATATACGCGGAAGTGATCAAAATCGATGTTTATCTAAGTAAATAAAATTGCTTTGTCAATACGCAAAAGAAACCGGGAAGCTTCCATTTACAGCAGGATGCTAAATAAAAAATTAAAGTAGGCTTACATTCAATTCTCTAATTCGTGGAAAAATTATGCTAATAATTTGACATCTAAATATTTTATTAATTTTGAAGACTATGCTTCTTCTCGGATGCTATCATTCCCGTCACATGTAGTGAATAAAAAAAACTCCAACTACGCGGTTTATAACGGAAGAAGAAATCACAGTCGCTCGCGTGTGTGGGTCGCCGGGACAGTACGATTAGACGAATAAATTTATGCGGAATCAGCGATGTAATGAGCGATCGGGAGGAAAGGAATCTCGATTCGTCGTTATCGTGAAAGACGTTAAGTCGGCGCAACGAGGTACCGCGACCTCGAAGGTGCTCATTCTTTAAAAATATATACGGAACTGAAGATGCGACTGCGACGTGTTTCTGCTTCAGGCACGTTCCGCATAATATACGATATTGTTCGCGTCGCTTCTTCAGCAACGTCTGTTTTGTAGAATCCACCACTGAGTGGCCGCGGAAAGTGTATAATTTTTATACATATTTCTCGCGTTAAACAGCGAGTGTGGTTGATTCCATTGAGAAAAGTCATTTCAGTGAAAAGTCGAGAGGAAGAATTCTTGCTTCATTCTTATCGATTTCAGTGACTGGACTTGAAAGCACCTTATAATTGCAGATATAAACTTTTCGCCGCACGCACGTATCTCGTGTCTATTTTATGTGTCTCTTACAGATTGCTGATAAACTGTTCCGGTTGATCGATCAAGAGAGCTCAGGGTACGTTACGTCCACTCAGATCATGGAATTCATATCTGGCATGAGCAAAACCAGGTGATGCGCTGATTGCAATTACTTTTGTCATCAATGGAATGAAGATTGTTTTTATTATTGAATCTTGAAATTTCTCGATCGCGCAAACTAGTAAGAAATCGAAATTTTACTTCAGGCCGCCCGCCGGCTTCGATAAAGGCAATCTCGAATGGCTGGAGAAGATATTCAAGCAGACTGTTGGAAACGAGAGAGAAATCCGGCGAGAGGAGTTTAAAAAGATCGTCACTTCGAAGAACGTAGGGAGGAGGCATTAGTATTCTTCATTTCAAACGGCGTATTTCAAACATCAACAATTTTTCAATTGAATTGATCGCGATTTTCCTCAAAACGTCCCATCGAAACGAGATAGCTGTGTCTGTTTTTCTTCACCGACGTTCACAGTCGAATAATATTCATTCAAATTATTTTTCAGCCGTTCTTCACCGAGAGAGTTTTCCAAATATTCGACAAGGACAACTCCGGCGCGATATCTTTGCAAGAATTTCTAGAGGCCATGCATCAATTCGCCGGCAAGTCTCCAGACGACAAGATTAGGTTCCTCTTCAAAGTTTATGACATCGACGGTAATGTTTCGCAACTCTGAATACACTTAGAGGGAGTATTTATGAAAGACGCTCAGATTACGTTTCATCTCTTCCGGAACGACAACAGGCGATGGTTTAATACAACTTCGCGAGTTGGAGCACGTAATGAGAGCCTGCATGGAGGAAAACGGTATGAAGTTCAGCGACGAGCAAATCGAGGACTTGACGATCGCGCTCTTCGAGGATGCCGATCAAGGTAACAGAGGAGCGATCACCTTCGAGGCTCTGAAGAGGCAGCTAGAGAAGCACGACGGTCTGCTGGAAAATCTCTCGATCAGGTTTGACAGAGAATTATAAGATGCGAGCAGTTACGGAATTCTCTAAAAATTGCAGATCTCTCGAATTTCCGATGTTGTCGCTTCGATCGAATTCATTTTGAACTTTTCTTATATCTCCCCCCCCCCCCGGCTTGGAAGTTTTGTCAATCGCTGCACCCTCCAAGTCTCAGCGGTGAACGTAAGAAATAACAACGAAACAATCGTAGCATAGATCGGTGGCTAGTACCACCGCAGCCGAAGCCGAAACAGAAGTCCGCTTTGGGCCTGTTTTCGTCTCTTCGTCCGTACCAGCTCACGAGGCCGTACATGAAGAACAATTACGTCTACATCGCCTTCATCTCAATATTCATCGTCATCAACGTGGCTCTCTTCGTTTCTCGTCTCTACGAGTACCGGAATGCCAGCGGCTACGTGATGCTCGCGCGCGCATGTGGTAAGACAATCTGACAATACGCGACGTCCCATCTTCCGTGGTGACGGAAGCTTCTTCAGCTAATTCAAGCTGCATTTTCTTGACTGTAACACTCGAATATCACGTAGTCGAATATCAGGTTCAGGTTCAGAGGGAATCACCGTCCGAGTCCGAATAAAATAGCTCCGAATGGACCTGAATTAATCTCGAAACGATTTTTCAGGACAATGTCTGAACTTCGACTGTACGTTCATCCTGGTTCTGATGCTGCGCCAGTGCATCACCTTTTTGCGGACGCACGGCTTTAACTCTGTGGTGCCTCTGGATCATCACATATATCTTCACAAGATGACGGGGCTCCTAATCGGCGTTTTCAGCATCGCGCACGTTCTAATGCATCTCATTTATTGCGGTATGCTCAATATCTCTTCCAAACACCTCTTCGCTAATTCTCAAAACTAAGAGAGTGTCTGCTCTCGAGAAGAAAAATAGCCAATGCCATTCCGAGTGAAGTCTCTCTTTTATAGCTGCCTGTAGCGGGATTATAAATAACAACAATTATGTATCTGATTAAACGCAGGCACGGTGATACTTAAAGACGAAGACATGAACAGCGGAAACTACACGATGACCGAATGGCTGTTGACAAGTCGACCTGGACACTTTGGCTTGGTGGCGGGCAGCGCGTATCCGACTGGAGTTGTTCTGCTCATTATACTCCTCATCATGACCCTCTGTTCGATGTCCTTCGTACGGCGGGGAGGATGCTTCGAGGTACTTTGATTCTCATCGCCCACACGCGGGCATTGAACACTTCGTGTCGTAACTGAGATTAGTTATCTCGACGATTTTATATACAGGGTGCTAAATTTCAAACAGATAACAGGTAAAAAATCTCTAAAACTAAATGATGGTGAAGCCCGCCTTTTTTTTATATTGTATCGTTTCGAAGGGGACACATTTTGATTAAAACAAAATTTAATTTTTGGTGGAGGTGCCAAGGTAAAAAGAAGGTCAAACTTTTCTTTTAATGGAACTCTTTTAATTTTTTGAACACCTACGTTTGTAGCCTTTGTCATGACGAATTCAACAACCACATACTCAAGATGATTAGCAGTCAAATAATGGAAAAAGGAAGACTCAGGAAAGAAAAAAATAATGCTTGAATAAAGCAAGGAAGAAATAAACTTTATTAATAAATTTTCCATAAGAACAAAATATCTCAGAAAAAAGAAGCGTTTTTCTCCTCGAAATGGAGAATTTCATTAATTTAAGTGTTCGGAATGTTGTCCCCTTGCATCTTCTGCAAGCCTGCAATCTTCGTTGAAAATCATTAAGCACTCTTTGTAATTCGCTCGCCGAAATTATTTGACTCGCTTCGCATACTCGTTGCATCTTTGACGGTAAATTCTAGCAGTCTTCTCTAGCATTTTGTTGATATTCACCTTAAATAAATTAAGATCATGTCACGATATTCCTCATTATAGTATAACGCACCATAACGCAAATTACGAAAGAAAAGAAGGTGAAAACACAACTTATTCTAACGATTACACTAGTCACACTCGTGTTCAATATCAATAACTGACTTGGTTGAAATAATACCCATCCCCACACATACGTACATACGCCTAGTCTATCTGTTATGTGTTCATTTTCTGAAGAATGTTTATAGTTTTTGCATCGTCAACGCCAACATCCATTCCATATCCACTTCTACTAAGCTTTAACGCAGGAGGATCATGATAGAATTTTGCCAATATAAACAAGATAAACTTTGATTTTATTAAGATGTATTAATAAAGTTAACGAGTCTTTTTTCCATTATTTGACCTCTAATCACCTTGAGTATGTGGTTGTTGAATTCGTCATGACGAGGGCTACAAACGTAGGTGTTCAAAAAATTAGAGTCCCATTTGAAAAAACGTTTGACCTTCTTTTTACCTTGGCGCCTCCACCCAAAATTAAATTTTGTTTCAATCAAAATGTGTCCCCTTCGAAACGATACAATATAAAAAAAAGGCGGACCTCAATATTATTTAGTTCTCGAGATTTTTTACCTGTTACGTTTGAAATTTAACACCCTGCATATCCTCCTCCCATTCTCCTGTAATTTTCTCTCGTCTTGCGCAAGGTGTTTTATTGGTCCCATCTGCTGTACGTACCGTTCTGGATTCTCATGATTTTCCACGGCCCCAATTTCTGGAAGTGGTTCATCGTACCGGGTATCATATACTCGGTCGAGAGGATCCGCCGGCTGGTATGGCTGCGTTCTCAGCGCGGAAAGACGTACATAAGTTCCGGCCTGCTGTTGCCTTCGAAGGTGACGCACCTGGTCATCAAGAGACCGCCGCATTTTCACTTTCACCCCGGCGATTACGTATTTGTGAACATTCCGATAATAGCGAGATACGAGTGGCATCCTTTCACCATCAGCAGCGCTCCGGAGCAAGCGGGTGAGCCTTTATTGTCCCTCGCATTGTTGTCTCTTCGTCCCCCTCGCGACATTTAACGATGTCAACGGCGAAATTGTAGATTACATATGGCTGCACATTCGCGCGGTCGGCGAGTGGACCAACAGCTTGTACTCGTATTTCGAGAAGGAGCAAATCAAGCTTCATCACGGCGATATCTTACCCATCGAGAATGCCGCGAGTACTCCTCGCAAGAAATCGTAAGTCCGTTGCAACTTGATGGACGAGTAAACATTGAGTGAGATTACTTTTATGTCAACGGCATAAGAATAATTTTATCATGCGTAGGTTTCTCAGCAGCAAGAAGCCGCCTCTTATCATGAAGCAAAAGCCCTCGACGGAATCTTTGCAGCATCCCTATGGTCTCGACAATCCCATGTTCGTATCTGATTTGGCGAAGACAATGTCACCCACGAGTACACCTATTAATAATCAATCTGCGTACTTAAAAACTCCGGAAAGTAAGGCCTGCTTACAAGATAAAATATACCTTCGACACGCGAAATCTCACTGCATTTTTATTATTCTGTCGTAAAAATAATGAATTCGAGAGATTGTCTCTCCCGTTGGTCACGTTATCGACGTAATATGCAACGAAAATTAATGAATTAAATGAATTAAATGACATTGATAAAAATTAAATTTGGAAAACTGACGCGTGTTGCACGTATAAATTCGACCGACAGATACGCCAGGATCGGACAAGGATCCTAAGGGTTTGGTTACGGGGAGAGACAGGAGAATCCATCAGTTGCTTCTTGGCAGCAAGCTGCCGCTCGAAAAGTCGCGTTCCATGCCGGACATGCAAACAAAGAAGAAGAAGAAAGAACGACTCAGAGTGTGAGTAGATTTACACGGCGTAAGAGCGGTTCTTGCAGATAGAGCGATCCTTGTCCATTCATTAAGTGTTTTATTTAATATGATGCATGATTTTGCTCCTGTGGTGCCGCAGACTTCGCGATTACATGAGATCGGAGTCGGAGAGAAGCTTCGACGAGTGCCAGATGAAACGCGCGCGACTGAAGTCGTTGGGCCTGGCATACCTGAGTCCGCAAAATAAGTCACTGGCCCAGAGCTTTCGATATATGCGAACAAAGCCGACCATCATTGCCTTCAAAACACCCAGCTTCGAAACGTGTGATTACGATGTCGATGCGCCGTCGAACTCCGGTGAGTGTCAGAAAAGAGATATATCCTTTATTTAGAAGTACAAAAGGTTCTAAAAAGCAGAGGTCATCTGTAATGTAAAATAATGTGGCACGATTTTGAAATATTCCCATAAAAATGAGTCACGTCATTTATAACGACTGAAAGAGAAACAGCTTGTACGAGTAAAAATGACTTAAATCATCAATCACGAGTAAAATTTACATCGACCTAGATGTTATCATCTACGGATGTGTCATCACCGAATAACGATATCAAATGCAAATTCGCGCGGTAATAATATTCTTCATCCGTCACGCGCGTACAGCATCCAATGCAAACGCTGGAGCGAATGAAGCGACATCGAACACATCGGCAGATATACAAGTCGCCGCGGAAGAAGGAAGATTGAGGAAGAATTTCAGCGAGACCAACATGCGCAACTCGGGAAGCTTAGATTTGTCTTTCGAGAGTTCCTCTCATTCGCCCATCAATTATCCCGTCGGAAAGCCGCTGGAGGTAAAGCATCTCATCCTTGCGCAACATTTCTCGCGACACTTTCGAAGCTGCCGAAAGAGAGAGAGAGAGAGAGAGAGAGAGAGACTGACGGCTTCAATCGCTCCGAAACTGACTATAAGTTGCCATCGTAGATCTTCCTAGACGGTCCTTACGGTGCGCCGTCGAGTCACATCTTCCGAGCACAACATGCGGTTCTAATCGGCACGGGAATCGGAGTTACGCCCTTCGCCTCCATATTGCAATCGATCATGCATCGATACTGGAAAGCGAGGCACACCTGTCCGAAATGCTCGTTTTCCTGGGCCAGCGAAATTCCGCACACTGTAATGAACTTACGAAAGGTAGATACAAGAGGTTTCATTAAAATTCCTCAATTCTCGCATCGCTCATTCTTTTTCATGAAATTTATACGAGTTCTTCGATTACGAGGGTGGTCCAGCAATGTTGAATCAAGAATATAAAATTGACCGGAGTAAAAAAATTGCTATTGCCGTTTATAATTCTACTGCAGGTAGCTGCAGTAAAAGAGATGTCTCTTGAAATGGCTACTCTTCTTTTCGAGAGCAAATAATTTTCAGGATTTTGAGAGTTATTGAACACTTGAAGTGAAAATTGATTTAAAGAGATATCGAACATACCGCAGTAAATAAAATGCATTAGAAGTACGAGGGGTACGATGCTGAAGAAGCCGATAATCTTTTCATAGACGCGATTCAATTCCACCTTCGGAATATCTTTCGCAGGTGGACTTCTTCTGGATCAATCGCGATCAACGTTCGTTCGAGTGGTTCGTGAACTTACTGTCTCAACTCGAGATGGAACAAGCCGAGTTAGGTATCACCATGGAACGCTTTTTAGAGATGCATATGTACATCACAAGCGCGTTGCAGAAGAATGATATGAAAGCAGTTGGCTTACAACTGGCGATGGATCTCCTGCATGAAAAGGTGGGAGAGAATGTTGAAGTGTGTGAAATTTGCATTAGTAATTAAGCTTACTCATTGCTTCTCATTAATTAGGAGAAGCGAGATCTCATCACAGGCTTGAAGACCAGAACGAACGCCGGTCGTCCTAACTGGGATAAGGTGTTCAAGCAACTTCAGGATAGAAAGAAAGGAAAGATCACGGTCTTTTATTGCGGCCCGCCGCAACTCGCCAGAATCCTCCGATACAAATGCGACCAGTTCGGATTTTGCTTCAGAAAAGAGTCCTTTTGATATCTGCAAGAAAAAAAACGGATTTCTCTCGGTAATTATGTCGGCGCAAGATGTTGGTGTGAAAAATGTTAACAGTAATTCGTTATTTCCCACGTGTTTTATTTCTGTCAATTATAACTGTATAATATATAAAAACTGTATTTTAATAAATTATTTTTTTCTCAATTTTAATACTTACGGAAAATCTTCATCGGTGGCATTTCGGATTACAATTTTCTTATTCCTAATTAATCTAGAAATACCTTCGGCATCTAATTTCACTCTTCCAATTGCTAATCAATCAATATTTTTTATCATTCTAGCCATTTCGTGCATTATCCAGGCAAGAATCAGAAAGAGAGTGAAATGGAACTGCCGTTCTGTCATTTCTATAAAAAAAAAGATTAATTTTCTCGTTATTTTAATTTTATCGATCAAACGGAACCGCAGGAATTTTTACGTCACTTTTTTCAAATTATTTCCAAATTTATATATTATGAGAAATCTTTTCATAACTCGGATTGAAGTGTCACAACGAATGAATTTCTCGATTACCTGAAATTAGTTAATTATACGTGAATCGACTGTAATATATCAATACGTAATGGAAGAAAGGTAAATAAAACTACAACACGTTATTTCGCATAAAAGAAAGAGAGAAAAAAGGAAAGAGAGAGAGAGAGAGAGTTGGTTTTATTAAAAAAATTCCTTTTATAACGTCCAAAAGAACTTTATGAATCCAATTAAACTGTTAGTATTCGCAAGCGTATTACACATAACGATGTTACAAATATTGCGTTAGTTAGTAAGTACACATTGCATGTTATATGATTATATATAGTTATTATACATATATGAGTATATAATAATTATATAATTATCAATTATATATATATATATATATATCATATACAACATACAATTTATATAGCTTTGGAGTAACTCTTTGGCTAGGTTTAATTACTTCCATAATACTGTTGATACAAATTGTCTAATACTTATGTTGCACTATACATCATCGAAAAGCTGATTTATAATCGAGTTTAGACGTATTGAATATCGTTTCTTCAACAGCTCGTTACACATCCATGAACAAATGCATTAGTATAAATGCGTATATGATGCAAGCAGCACCATGCTCGAAAATGCTTAATTGTCGGTATTATTCTTCAACATAGATGCCTGATTACAGTGCGTTATGCTGAATTCGCAAGGATGTTGGTACCATGGCTCACCGTCCACTTGCATAGCGCACGCTCGCAACAATTTGATCTAAATAATACAAACGATACAATATATACATCGTATGCACTAATATACGCGAGAAAATCTTTTCAACAGTTTAATACTGCGAATACCTTTACTGATTTAGCTTGACCAATCCGGTGTGGCTTCGAGAGACCTATTTGCAACTGCGCCATGTGGAATGAAGAGTAAAGGGCTACTACTTCCAACTTACCGTCGCTAATATCTTGTGCATTCACGTGTCCCTCATCTGTTTGACATTTGAGTGATTTTAAGTGATCCTCTTTAAGTGAGAATCCTTCAATACAGAATTTTATTAGACTAACCTTCCGTTCCCATTTTCCACAAATCGACTCCTGCAGCCCAAGATGGAATGTTAAGTACCACTACACTTTCAATGGAAGGCAACTCCACTTTCTGGTCGTCTAAATAGACCTCCAAACTCTGATCGAGATCTTTGCACTCCCTTTCTACAACTTGTTGCGTGCCGAAGCATAAGTACAATAACTGCAACGCACATAGATATACCGAATGACAACCTCAACGTTGCTCAACAAACTTGCGAGAAACTTGTTTATTCAACAAAGAGGGATACCTTGTTAAATATTCTATGACTAAACAGGTAAAACCGACTCTCTCTTGTACGATGAAAATTCAAAGTTACTTGTGCGTCTACGCCCACGCTTATGTAGTTGTACATAAACAGCGTCCGATGCGTTCCTCTAAATCCTAATCCACGGTTTGGCTCTATTTTTACAGACCACCTAAATTCTCCAAAAAATTGCAAAGAAATTATATCTAATAACCGTTGATGTAAAAGCATGTTGTGTTTCATTCCATACCTGTCAAGTTTTACTTCTTGTGCTGCCCGTATCTTCTGCAGGACCTCAACTGGATCCATATGCTTGTCATGTTCCTTTCCCCATCCTAATACTCTGGATAAATCATTGCCCGTCCCCAAAGGAATTATTGCCACCGACGGAACAGGCTATATCGTACAAAAATATTTATTTATATTCGTGCTGAAATATAACATACGTGTAACCATAATAAAAAAATAAATAAATAAAAATACCACCTGCAAGCCGAGCTTATCAATAGTATTCAGCAACCAAGAAATCGTTCCGTCTCCACCTGCTACAAGAACAGTGCATGGAGTTTTCCCTAATAAGCGGCACCATTCGAGAGCAGCGACCGGGTCACGTTCCGCTAAATCCACAACTTGTGCAGGATTTAACAGTCTTCTGAACAGAGATAGAATTTTATCTCCATCATTGTTTCCAGATTTTCTATTTCCTACACAAAAGAACATCATGAAGATTTATTCGCTTAATAAAATTACTTTATCTGTACAGATATTTTAGAAGCAATTTATTGTTGGTTTGGATTCTTATTTACCTACAACAATAATTGGATTCCATTTAGGCCAGTTTGGTGTTATAACAGAACGAAGGTGCAACCTACGTCTCATTGTCCTACGTCGATTTATCACTTCTAAGCTTCCTGGTGGAATAATCATTAATTTGAACGATCCAAAATCACATATCTGAAAAGCAGAGAGACATAAGCATGATTATTTCTTGCAAATTATTCTTAAAAAATAAGACATGTTAATGTAGAAAAAAGATTTTGTTGATTATTACTTCAGAGAGGACAGATTTGCACGTTTCATGAACACATCTCTGACACCAACAACACCACCAATCTGTGAGACCAGGTTCTATGTCACATTCTTCTTTACAGACATAGCAAATGGCGACAAGTGGCAGATTACCTTTATAAATACAGGGAAAAAATATTTGGAAAGATTAAATATATCCATTATACAAAATAATAAACATAACCAGTAAGCATACCTTTGATCCAATGATGTTTCATTGGTTGCTCATTACTGAGTGTGATAACTTTGCATTTAAGTTGTTTATCTGCAAGCTTTATGCAATTTCGGTCTGCACAGACACCACAAGAATCACAGTAAAGACCATCAATATTCAATAATAAACTCTCGCAAATACTGCAGTAATATGCCTGTATGTGAATGTACATGTATAAAAAATAATTCTGTAAATTTTACATATTAATTTTATTATTACTTTCAAGATTTTGACAACTTAATAAATCAAGTAGACAGAGATATAAGATACAAGAAGTACAAAACAGAAGAACGATATGAAGTTAAGTCAGATCACAGTTGAATCTTTTTATATTATTATCGATAGAAAAAGTTGATTTAAACTATTGTATTACTCTTGAAAGTACCTTGGTTATTCCCCTGACTGTTTTCCAATTATGCTCTTTTGTGATATCCCTAATTGGAATATGCTGATCATCTACGAGATATCGTAAGAAATTTAATGTAAATATAAAGAAAACCATAGTAGACAACATAGCTGGAACAATAGTATTCAAGTTTTCTTCCCACATGATGTCCAATTGCAGGATTCCAAAAGTTTACAAAGTTCTAAAATAAATATAACATTATAAGCATAGCTTGTTTGTCCAAAGCAATGTTTCTTACATCCAGTGTTATAAATTTAAATTAATACTTTAAAAAATATATCACAATTATACAAAATACATATGATGCTTTTAAAAGTAATATATGACATTGACATTGAAATAAATAATTAATTAACTCACTATAGTATATAGACACATTGCATATATATAAAAATCTCTATTCTACAATTATATTTTTCACAAAATAATAAAAATTATATCAAATATATCCATGTGTTATAAGAAGTTTATTAAGATTTCTATAAGAATGTACAGAGAGAAAATATAAAATACAACGATAGTGATTAATGCTACTACGATTACCTCTTATACGACAAACGTGATAATCACTGTTTGCATCTCATGTTATTTGAATTTTGTAGATCATACATTATGCATTTATACACGCATCTTCCGATGTCGTGTATCGAATCAACTACATTTATCGCTTTGTCTGCCATTGATTCTCACATACTGGCCATCTGCAATAACAACTGATACAGCAGTTGGATCGAAGGTCCAAGCTCATAATAGATGTAGCAAGTTTTTAATGTCAAATCAATAAAAATGTTATTCTTATGAATAAAAAAATTACACAATATATTTAAATAACTGTTCGACAGAGCCTTTGAAAAGTAAAAACTTTGTTCGATTCGTCGCTGAGTCGTACTACTTGAAGATGAAAGTAGATATGATATGACACCACTAGATGGCGCCAGATGGTCTGTGAAGTGCGTTTCAAAAATTCGATATTTTTTTGTGACGTTAAAAATTATTAAATTATCAAATATCAATGTCATTGTAACAAATTGTTTAAATGTTGTTTCTTTTTTCCATTATCGCCCATTTCTATGCAAAATATCTATAAAACGATATTGGGTCGAACGATCTACTGTACGTTACCGCCCTCTCAGCACACTTTTTAACAGAATCTGAAGCTCCTGGCAAATTGCGGGAATATGGCGCCAGGAGATAGATGCGTACGAGTACCTGCGAAATTTCGGAATAATTGTAAGTTATAAAATAATCAATGGATTGTAGATTAACTAAATCCTACATCATTATTACGTTCCCTTACATTTGTATCGTCAAAGTATGTATCGATTCGAACGTACTTTGATGATATTAAGAGTATTGTCAAACAATGCCGTTAGATTCAAAGTTGTGATTATTCGATTCAAAATGGACGATTATATATTATGCACAAACGGCGATGGTGGTAACGTCGATTTCACGCGCAAGATGTATTTCCGCGAAATAACGTCTTCTCTTGCGACATTACTTTTCGATCTTGTCATGGACATGAGACTCACCGATAGAGGTTAATTTCGTTAGATACGTAAATGCGTGTTCAAATCCTGTCATTACTAAAATCCTCCGGAATTGTTCTAGGTTTGCCAAAATCTATTAACGAAGTTGGTTATTACACCTAGAAGTCTGCATAATATCCACTTCTGGTCCATTGTCCCTCTCCAAATACGTCCTACACACACATACACACGCGCGTGCACGTGCATTCTGCGAGAGATGTGTAAGTCATATTTATATTTTAATGAATCGCATTTACGAGTTTATCTAGCAAATATTCAAATCGAATTTACGAATTTGCAAATTTGTCTAACAAATGCTGCTTGCGAAACGACACGGCAATTTGTAAAAGAACGCCTTTGTGCTACGAGAGAAAAATGCGAAATTTATTACTTTCTTCAAGTAAATAAGGACTTCTATATAATCCTTACACATATAATGCACTTTTCAAAGACGATTGATTTAATGATACTGTTTGAAATAATTACTGCGTTTTTATCTTTTAAAACGCACTCTAATTTAATTTAAGATCTTGATCCTCGATAAACACGGAGCTCCTTCGTAAACATGTTATTTTAATCCTCTTAGTCACCCTGGTATCTGTTTAATTCCACAAGAATCCTCCGAGAAAAAAGAAATCCCCAAAATATTTTCAAGAGCCTGTTTGCGAGGGAAAGAGGCTCCTCTTTATCGCTCATTGAATTTCGCGAACTGCCTCGCTGGCATTCTTTACCATGACGAGATGGCGCATCGCCGATAAGGAAGCCTCACCGATGACCGTGTCATCATCATCATCATCATCATCATCATCATCATCATCGTCATCGTCATTCATTCATTGGCCACTTCCTGTGTTTACACAGCGTCGTCTACCTTCCGCTACCGTTGACCTCCCGACCGGACCATCGGTCGGGGGTGACTGACTGACTGACTGACAAACAGACAGACAGACGGAGGAAAACGCGCTTACCTCACTGTCGAAAACGCGGCGGCTGTGCTTTTGTTAATTGGTCACGGTCGTCGGTGACTCTTCCCTAAGCCTTTGCCCGACGGCAAACACGATCGTGAGGTCGCGAAGCGGGTGAACGGGTTGACGTGACGTGCATCCGAGCGTGCGAGACTAAGATTGATCTATCATTGTCTTGTCTGGCCGCCGTCTGGACGGTTGATTGCCATCGGGGCAAATATTATCTTCCCAGAATTCCCGCGGCGTTAGCGTTTTCGCGTCGTCTCGCGCCGGCCGCTCCGCAGATGATAGAGGAACATTAATGAAGCCGATGACTGCGCATTTACGCGCGCGGAGAAATATGAATGAAAGTGGAAATTCATTCGTGGCGAAGCGATACGCGAAATTGCGGGCTGCGTTCTATTAGCTTCGCGATCACGAGTCCCTGCGTCATATTAGCCTCGCACGATCGCATGACACATCGGTTTCTCTGCCGAATCTGACGATTCGGAAATCGCTCTCGAATTGGCGCCCTTCCTGCTTCCTTGTTTTATTCCACCTCCTCCCAGAAAGGGCTGCCGAAAATTCGCTGCGAAACACAGCAAGCTCATACCCCAGATCGCACACAGTTATATAAATTCTACAAATTATATAAATCCTTGCTCTTAAAATTGAGTATTCGAGGCGCGCTCAATTGGATATTTTTTCTATTCTACTTTCGACGATTTTACAACGCGTTATACACACCGGAAGAAAAGTAGCAGTTTTACAATCCATTATTCACACGTACATTCGGAACGCACACTGGCGCCGCTCAGTCATGCGACCGAACGAGCCGAGGAAAATTATCTCCAAGTCTTGGAGGGTGTGCCGTGTCTTTCCTTCTTTTTCTGCCTCTGCCAAAAATTATGGAGAAAAACGATAAGCAATTCACGTCGCGTGCAACCGCATGCAATTAATTATTTTCAGGAACACGGCGAGCGGCTTAGGCATCTTCTGCGAGAGGATAACGACCGAAGCTCCCTTGTATATCTTTCATCGCCGAAAATGCTCATCACGCCGACGCATTGTAGCCCTCGCGAATAGGCGACTGCTACGCGGTTGCACGCAACCTCGCCGACGACTATGTGCCGGGCTTTTTCTACTGAAATCTTCGAACGCGAGCTCGGAACGGGGGAGAGCTCGACTCGTGGGACACGCGTCCGCGTTTTACGCGTGACTCCGTCATTGTTCTAACGAAGCGTGCAGATGCAAAGATACTCGCGGCCGCGAGCGCACCGCACGCGCGCGCGCGCGCGCGAACTGTCCATTTCGCCGCAATAAAAAGCCACGAGCGTCGTTATCAATCGACGAGCACTCTCGTCGACGTGAGCGAGGGGTATCGACGGCGGCTCCTCTAGATCCTCCCCTTTCTGCCCGCCACCCCCGACGCGAGAACTCCACTCTCCCTCTCTCTCTCTCTCTCTCTCTCTCTCTCTCTCTCTCTCTCTCTTTCTGACGGGCAGTACGAGCGAAAAACGAACATCTAAAGTACGGCGCGTGCATTCCGCTCGCGGATGAGAAGAAAAAGATAGGAAAGAGAATAGAGAGAGTCATGGAACTCGCGACCGCGCGCAGGGGGAGGCACAGGGGGGCTGACGGAGCGGCGAAGGGAGGGATGGTGAGGAAGACGAGAGAGAGAGAGAGAGAGGGGGGGGAGAGAATGAGCGGGACAGGGAGGGAGGGAGAAATAAAGAAAGAGAAGGAGCGAGGTGTTCGCGGTGCGCGGCTTGATTGAATGCGGATGTGCGTGCAGCCGGTGGCCGGTGGTCGACAGCCACGAATCGGGGGAAAATTATAGGTAGGTCCTCCTTTCGTACATGTCGGTGGTTCGATGCTATCTGCCTTCTCCTTCCGGGAATTTCGCGGTATAAATAGGAGGGCCGCTGCTGTGTACTACGTGCGTATGTGTGCGTACGTGTGTCGCGTGTGTGTACGTGTGTCTCGGCTCGACTGCACCCGGAGAGTTGCAGCGGACTTTCTCCCTCTCCCTCTCCCTCTCTCTCTCTCTCTCTCTCTCTTTCTCTCTGTCTCTCCTTTTCTCTCTTCGACTACTAGGTGGAGTAGTCAACGACGCGACGGCAGCCGAATATTCGGCACCCGCGCGATTTATGCACCCCACTTTTGTGCAGCCGCCGGCAGCGTACGGGTTGCAAAACGGAATTCTAGTCACGACACGAAAGCCACGCCGCCGCCTCGAGCTGTTGTTTTAATTGTCGACAGCGAGCGCGGCCCGCGCGGTATGATTCGGACAGCCGAGAGGAAGGTACGGCTTGAGGCACTCATTCATCCCCTTCGCCCACTGTCCCCTCTCAACCGTCCGCCCTCTTGGCCGCCCTCCTGCCTTTCGCGAGTGTTCCGGAGCCCTTGATTCCGTGGTTCTAAACCCCTTCGCGCTGAAATTACCGGTAATTACGCGCCGTCGTTATCCGATCGTGGCTTATTCGCCGAAATAAGCCGGAATCTTTACGCGATAATAAATCCACGATGTTTGCCGGGGTCTCGAGTGTATGCACGAGCCGGTGGCGGTGCCTTTGACACGGCGCACTGCTTCCGGACTTATCGGTCGCGCTCACGGCTGTTATCGTTGCGACGCGAAATGAAAAGTTTCGCCGAAAAGATAAGAGCGAGTGTGGCCCCGCGGCTCTTGAGTTTTCGCGAGACATGTTCGTCCACGTGCGGCGTGTATCCACTGCCGCGGCCGGCGAAATCGTGCTTCGCTCTCTCGCCCCGCTCTATCGATCATTTTTATTCCCTTCTATTGTCACTCGATCGAAAACGGAAAACATGTCACTCCGCTGTGTTATTCCATTGTTATTCGATTGAAAACTGTGCGGTTTCGCGGAGTCGCGAATTGGAGAGAATTTTGTCGATTTGCGATGAATTTGCTTCGCAGTCGTCGCTTCTCGTTAGCTCGCGTCTACGTGAGAAACACGTCCATGTTTCGTTCGTTTCGCGTGTTATCGACACTGCGAAAAATACAAACATATATACAATATATGTAGGGGGGTACCGGAAAGTCTTGTCGTTTTTCCGTGTTCTTCGCTTGGTTCAAACGCTGCCATTTTCCAAGAGTAAGTTCGATCTTAATGAAAGTTGATATACGCAATAAAGAAATGTTTATTGAACTAATCTGGAATTTTAATTAGTTCTGGATTAAAATTAATAACCCGCATCGCAACCACGGAAACTGAAGGCTTTAAAATACGAAAAGACTTTCCGGTATCCCTGATATCCCTGATATAC